CTCAGCCCTGGCCCTGTCTGCTCGTGCTGAGCCAGAGTCCGCTGGGCCCTGGGAGTAGCTGCTGGCCAAGCCAGGCCTCCTCCAGTGCAACCCGCCACAAGGGGCTGCCAGGCAGAGAAAGGGAAAGCCAACAGTCTACAGCTGAATTTTAAAATAGCAGGGACCAAAGACCAACCACACAGCCAGATCAGCCATGACCATTGTGATCAAGTCCCTGAGGTCTTAGCACAACCACAACATAGCCTCAAATCCATCACCGTAATTATTGCAACCACTACCCAGCAAAAATCATCGTAACCATCTGCAGGCCAGGGTGAGATATTAACTCTTTCACTGTACAGAGAAGACCTAGAGACCTTAATCCTCTCTCAAGAGAGAGAAAAATATAAAGACATGGAAAAGATATCACAAAACTCAATAAGAAAAGATTAAGTCCCAAATCAAAGGAGCATGAGGAGATGCCCTAATATGCCACTGCCATCTGCTGCACGTACTTCCACCGCAGCCCCCTTCTAGAAATGTCCATGCAGCCCATCAGCATCAGCTCTAGGTTGGGTTGCATCAGTGAGGCAATTCAAGCCTTACCCCACGCAAACAACATCCATTCTCAGGCAACATTTTGCTTTGGGTTATCGTTCCAGCTCTTTTGGCTGTGTAGATGGCCCTAATAACAGAAAAAAAGCACCTCAGAACTGGTGTTATCTATCCAGCAATGAAGGAAAGAAACTCAAACCAAACAAAGTTTCTAAAATAGTGGTTTTGAGAGAAGAAGTGCACCCCCATTCTTCTCTCTTCTTGCCTGCAACCTGGAGAGGATGGTTTAAAGACTCAGAGTCTTTGTTGCTTCTTGTGCCGTGCTGCTGAAACAGTGACCATATGTGTTCGTAAGATAAGCCACTTTCTCGATATCAGCAAGCTGGAGCCTGGTGATGGGGAGAGCCTGCCAAAACCTCCAGTTTGTTTCCTGCCACTTTCTGGGATGGGCCCAGTGTTTATGCATTGATTTGAGTATCCAACGAGCAGAGGCTTAGCAAAAAGATGACACTTCCCTTTCATCTGATTTCACCAGGAATGTTTTCCTTTTACTGCATAAAGGAAACCTGAAATTTTCAGACTGCAAAAAGACAAAGCTGCAGGTGACTCCTGTGTGCCCAAAAAGGCATTTTTATCTCAATACATTTGGGGAGGCATCTTAATGTATTTCTGTTGAATAGGGGATCCCAAATGTTTGTTTCCTTCCCTGAAGAGCACCTGGGGGATTTCCTTTCTTTTCTTCCAAATACCATTGTTTTCAACAACAGGACAAAAAGCTTGATGAGATTTGTTTTATAGCAGCTGTGCTTCTGGGACCAACAAGAACTGCAGAGATGCCCTTCATGTAATGATACTTGGAAATAGAGTTAGTTAGAATAGCAAAATCCCTCTTCCAAGTAGCCTGTCAACTGGTGTGAATACTCAAAGAAAACATGGATTTGCATGTCTTTATTTCCCCACTAACTAGGTCACTCAAAGAAATCAGCTGCCAAAGCCAGACCTGCTGGATGTTGGAAAAGCTGGAGCTGCTTTGGGGCTTGGGTTTTTTGATGATACAGGGAAGTCATCTCTGCCTCTCTGCCAGGGCAAAATCTGCCACTGAAGAGTGGAGCAGAAACAATGGGCTCTGGGAGAGCTGTTGCAGATGGGAAAGAAGCAGGTGGAGCCTTGTGTTTCTGTTTGCTCCAGGTTCAACTCCTGATAGCCAAAGGAGGGACCCCACAACTGCGGCAGCCCAAACTCCTCTCAGCTTTGCTGCGTGACTTCCTGAGCTGCTGCCTGCAGACAGACGAGGCACAGCGCTGGTCTGCTGAGGAGCTCCTGCAGGTAAAATGCCAAGGGGCTGCAGGTGAAACAGTGGCTGAGGCATGGTGGCTCCTTCTCCTCTGAATTCCAAGGCACCAGATGTGCCCCCCTCCTCCTCCCTTCCAATCCTGGTGCTATTCAACTGAGAATGGTGAGGAATCTTAGACTGGGCAGGGCTGGCAGGGACCTGTAAAGCTCATGTGGTCCGAGTGCCCTGCAGAGAGCAGGGACATCTTTAAAGAGAACAGGATACTCAGACCTGAGCTATTTCCAGGGGTGGGGCACCTTGGGCCAACTTATGCCACTGCTGCCCCATGCTCCTTAGACCTACTCTGACTCAATGCCCTTTTCATTTAAAAAATACTCCCCTGCCTTTGAAGCTCTTAGCCTGGAAAAGCGTGTTTTCTTCTTGTTTTCTTTTCCTTTCTGCAGCATCAATTTGTAACATTGGCCAAGCCTGGCTCCAGCCTGGTGCCGCTCATCCTTTCAGTGAGGCAGTGAAAGGAGAAGACAATAATGTTGTAATCAATTTGGAACTGTTTTCTCCATGGCCAGCTTAGAGTAGGAATATAGAGTAGAATTATATAGTAGGATTTTAGAGTAGTAATGTAAAGTAGGATTGTAAATCCATAAAGTTTCTGAAACCTTAAATCCTTTGGAAAATTCCCCTTTTTCTATCCCTGTGAGAAAGCTCAACATTTCGTTCTGAACTGCCACTTTTTCCTTAGAGGTGGAAAGTGACATGGATGGCTTCTTTGGTAAACAAGAGTTCAAGTCTTGGAAAGCTGCCGATGTTCATGGAGTCAGGTTTCAGTTCAGTGGCACAAACTGCAAACCATGTCAGACCGGCCGCCTCCGCTCTTCTCCTTTCCCCCACCCTCCGCGGCTTCCCCCACCCTCCGCGGCCTTGTCCGGCCTGGTTGGGGAGGAAGAGGCTGAGCCGGAGCCGGAGCCAGAGCATTGCTACCTGTTCAAAAGCCGGAAACCAAAGAGAACAAGAAATTCCCAATCTTAAGCCTTACGATAGGTATTCACAAGTTGATCTCACTTTTCAATGGTCAGAATCACTGGGAGTTCTCAGAAATGACTAGTAATTGGTCAGGAGAAAAACGTCCCATCAGCCTCCAGGAACTTCAACTTACCCCAGTTCCCAAAGCAAACCTTAAAGTTGCAGAACTCAAGATATATAAAGTCACACCAGGACAATTATTTTTCTTGTAATAATTCTATTTTATAATTACTAAATAATGTGGTGGGTTTAGCACTGGCTAAAATCACCAGTGCACTTACTCATTTGTTTTTGCTGGGAGATATGGATTAGGAGAAGGGCAAAACAGGTTCAAAACATAAAAGGTATAAAGAAACTTTACTAACAGTAAAGTTAGTAACAGTAAAGTAAGGAGAAGCATCAGAATAATACTTCCAGAACTCCTTTCCTCCCCCTGCCTAACTTCTTTCCTTTCCAAGCTGACAGCATAGACACAAAACATGGGATGTTAAATCAGTACCAACAATACAATACTCCTCTGTCAGTTCTTGAAGGGAGAGAAGATTCCTGTTGCCATGCCACCGAGACTTCTCTACAAGAAACAGTTTCTCATGGCTTTTCATTTCCACAGATAGCATCTGCCCAGGTTAAGTTCTGCAGTTGTGAAATCTTTCCCATTTTCACAGCCCTGCTACAAGTGTCTTCATGGGCTATGAACTCATGGGGTATTATTTTACGGATGAGTTGTTCAAAGGCAAATGTTCCCTTCATCTGTCTCTGTCATCACCTCTAGGAACAGAGCTTTTCTTCTTCTCTCCCTGGGGGCAAAAGGTCTTCCTCACTCTCATCTCTCTCGCTCTCTGTTCAGACTTCTCATGGGATCACAGCTACACCAACATCTGCTTGGCTTCTTATCAGTGCATGCCTCTGTTCACATGCACAGTTTGAATGCTTCATTCCCCCATCCTCTCTCATGAATTGAAGGAGATATTTCTGTGTATCATTTTCTATCTCCATAGCTCTACCAAAAGAAATTTTCAGCCCAACACTGAGACATCTCCTCATTCACCTTCTTTGATTCTTACTTTAATGACCCCAGTGTCTTCATGTTGTCTTCTACGTGTCCCCTCTTTGTCCTTTTCTCTTGAGGGGAGAATGGTGGTCTGCAGTTTTCATCTGTGCACTGATAGGGTTAAATGAAAGGCTTAAATCTTGCCAGGTCTGCAGATGGTCGTGGGCAGTGGCTGCAGCACTTATGATGAGGATTTCAGGCTGCCCTGGGCCCCTCTCTCTGCACGGCAGCTGCTTGGCCTGGAGCCATCGGTGTGTGCTGGGGAGAGGGTTTAGTGTCAGCGAGATGTCAGCAGCTGTGGCCCAGCCTTGCCTGGGGCTGGGATTCTGCAGCCTCCATCCCCCGTCCAGGAGCCACTGGGGTCCGGCCCAGCCTCTCCCAGGAGCACAGGCCGTGGGCGAGCAGGGCCGGCCTTGCCAGAGCTCCGTCATCTTCTGGGTCCAGAAGCCAAGAGAGAGATTTCCCAAGCTTTATTTTTAAAAATGTAAATCTCACAGAGGCAGACCTAATTTCTAAATGGTTCAAAATGTTGTCACTTCTCAGCACTAGCCAGCTATTGACCTTTCCCGGGCACAGGAGCTCCCAGCAGCTTCTTTCCGAGAAATCTCTTCCATAGGTGGTTTCTTCCTTCTCCAAATATCAATCAATGTGAAACCACCACAGGGATACAAATCCAAATGGCAGGAACCCAAATGCTCTAGAGTCACAGCTGAAGGCCTGCATCTGCACAGGGAGTTTTGGCTGCCCCATTCTTCCACTGCTTTTGCCTGCAAATGCCATTGCCCTTTCTGCCTCAATTAGACATACCACACAGCTGGGCAAAACCCAGCCAGTGAGCCAAATTCCAAAGGCAATGCACTTTGGAGAGGATGACTGAAGAAGAGTCTTCCCCACTTTCAAAGCACACCAAAGAAGCCATGAATACCACTTTGCACCTTGAAGAGACAACTGATAAGTCAGAAGGAAATGCTGAGTTTATTCACAGGGTAAAAAAGAAAGCAATCTTCCAGATGAGTTAAAATTTCAGAAATTTTATTGATTTATATAGTCCTACTCTATAACCCTACTCTTTCAGAAATTTTATTGATTTATATAGTCCTACTCTATAACCCTACTCTACAATTCTAGTCCACAATCCTACTCTATAACCCTACTCTACAATCCTAGTCTACAAGCTGACTCTACGCTGGTCCTGATGTTTTCTCCTCCTTCCTCCTCTTCACTGAAATGATCAGCGGCACCAGGCTGGACACAGGCTCAGTTAATGTTACAAGTGGATGCTGCCCAAAAGGGAAAAAAAGAAATCAACAAAACTCAGTTAACCATGACTTTCCAAACTCAGTGCCTCACAGCCTCAATCAGGATTCCTCTGGTTCCCAGACAGACCCAGAGAGGGGACCAATGGGGGCATCTGCACCTCCATCTTCACGTGCAGGACCTTGCCATCACAGGCAAACCTGGCCCAGAATCCCACTCATCCATTGATTCTTCTTTCTTCATTTTGATGGGACTTTTGCCCTAGCAGGGCTCTAGAAATGGTGCTTTCTCTGCCAGGCTGAGAGAGCTGGAGTTATTCAGCCTGGAGAAGAACAGGCCCCAGGGAGACTTTCTAGCCACTTTCCAAAACTTCAGAGTGGCTTCTGAGGGTGTGCAGGACATCTTTTTGAATAGGTCCAGTGACAACAGGACATGGGCTAATATGTTTAAAGAAAAAGGGGATGGAATCAGAAGAAGTCTAAGGAAGAACTTGTTTCCTTGGACACACAAACAACACTAGCACAGGTTGTCCTAAGAGCTTGTAGGTGCCCTGTCCCTGGAACCATTCCAGGCAGGTGGGAGAGGGCTCTGGACATCCTGATCCCTTTAAAGATGTCCCTGCTCATTGCAGGGCACTTGGACCACATGAGCTTTACAGGTCCCTGCCAGTCCTGCTAGAATTCCTCACCATTTCCATTTGAACAGAAGGAAGATTGGAGGTGAGATGGAGGGGGGCACATCTGATGCCTTGGATTTCAGTGGAGGAGGAGCCCATCCCTCAGACACTGTTTCACCTGCAGCCCCTTGGCATTTTACCTGCAGGAGCTCCTCAGCAGACCAGCGCTGTGCCTCGTCTGTCTGCAGGCAGCAGCTCAGGAAGTCATGCAGCAAAAGCGAGAATAGGTTGGGCTGCCACAGCTTTGGTGTCCCTCTTATGTTTATCAGGAGTTGAGGCTAGAGAAAAAGGAAACAAAAGGCTCCACCTGCTTCTTTCCCATCTGCAACTGCTCTCCCAGAGCCCATTGTTCCAGCTCCACTCTGCAGTGGCATTTTTTGCCCTGGCAGAGAGGCAGAGATGACTTTCCTATACCAATAAAAAACTTAAACACCGAGGCAGCCCCAGCTTTTCCAACATCCAGCAGATCTTGCCTTGGCAGCTGATTTTCACTGACTAGTTCTCTGGTTAATGAGAACTCCATCACCAAATGCAGCTTTTGCTTCTCTGAGGATTCACACCAGCTTGTGTGAATAGCTTGACAGGCCATTTGGGAGGGGGAATTTGCTCTAGCTATACTATTTCCAAGGATTATTGCACAAAAGGGATCACTGCCATGCTTGTTGGTCCCTCAAGCACAGCTTCCATGAAACAAAAATCATCAAGTTTTTGTTTTACTTCTTGAAAGAAATGCAGAAAGCATTTAAAACAGACAGAAATGACAGTGGGGAGAGGCCTAGGAGTCTGCATGAAAACGCCCACCAGTGCTGGTGCTGGTAGCAATGAAATAGATGCTGACCAAGGAGACTTTGATCCTCTTCAAGCCAGAGGAAAACTTCCTTCACTTTTCCCATAGCAGCAGAGGTCAAAAAGGAGGTTTTATCCTGTCCCTCTGCAGCTGAGCTCAGCTAGTGGGCATGGTGGGGAGTCCTCACTGTCACTAGCGCTGTGCAGCCCAGGGATGGCCCTGCTCCTGTGCTAAAGGAACAGCAGCGGCGTCAACCGCACCCCTTGGATCCCAGCCCCAGGCACCTGACTGCAGGCTCATCCTCCTGTTCAAGTACCAAGAAACAGCCGGGGCTTTGGCACACAATTCTAACTGCAGCTGGAGAAAAACACATCCTGAACTTTTCCAGGCCACCCAGACACATGACAGAACAATGTACAGATGACTTGAAAGCCTGAAAGTTTGGAGGTCCCACAGGATTTGGAAAAGATGCTAGAATTTGGACAAAAATGGATGTGCTTTGTTTAATAAAGGAAAAAGCAAGCAGAACTACTTTGATTTTTGTATTTTCTGTTTACTTTTCCTTTTTGTTCTATTATTTTCCTTTTCCTTTTTCTTTTTCCTTTTCCTGATTTTATTTTTATTTTTAATTTTAAGTTTAGTTTTATATTTTCCTTTTCCTTTTCCTTTTTCCTTCTTTCTCTTTCCTTTTCCCTTCCCTTTTCCCTTCCTCTTCCTCCCCCTTTTCCTTATCCTATTCCTTTTTCTTTTTTTCTCATCCCTTTTCTCTTCTTTTTTGCTTTTTCTTTTCCATTTCCTTTTCTTTATTTTCATTTTTTCTTTTTCTAGAAAATTGAAAACGGGAAGGTCCCAACTCCATCTCAAAGGATATTTATCACACTGCTGAACTCTCCACTGAAAAATTCTTCTCCTTCAGAGACAAGCTCCAAGAATTTTCAAAAAGCAAAGGAGAAATGTCACGGAGGCCAGCAGGGCTGCAGGCCAAAATGGCACGTTTCTGAACTGGGTACTTGCCACTTACCTGCTGATGCAACCAAACCTACAGCAGATCCTGATGTGCTGCAGGGACATTTTTAGAAGGGGACCTTGGTGGAAGTAATGCCAGCAGATGGCAATGGCATTTTGTCCAGTGGCACACAGAACATGGGACAGGTGAGAAAGTCAGCAGGATCAGTGAGTATTTGCACCTTACCGAGACAGGAGTTTCATTCCAGGAAGGAACTTCTCGTTCCACCATTTCGATGCCCACAATTCCAAAAGACCATATGTCCATTTTGGGGCCGTACGGGTGACCTGTCACGACTTCAGGCGCCATCAACCCAGAAGTGCTGGCCACGGAGATCTGTCTCCTCTGCTCAGGGGTGAGCTGAGCAGAGAGGCCAAAGTCAGCTGTGGAGAAAACAACACACCCTGAAAGGCAGCTCCAATTAGGAAACCAAGCAAAAGAATTGCCCACTCCCAGTCTCAGAATGCACTTTGTCATCTGCTGGAAATCCATTCCTGCTCGATTTCCTCAGGGCTTTAACCAAGGAAATATGGCATTGGCTGCTTCAAAAAATCCCCACCTTTTTTACACTTCCTCCAGCAATGGCCTTTCTTTTTCTGAAGCTTTAGATTGTAGCTCTCTCCCTTTGGATGGGACACAGCAATGCCACTCTTGACTGCTTGTGGTACCTTGTCATACCTCTGTGCACATCACAGCTGTGCCTTCAGCTCACAGCAGGGGCCCCTGCACTGCCAGCAGCACCATTTTTGGGGAGCTGGCAGTCACTGAAAGCAGCCCCACACCCCACATCCCTGGGAGGCTGAACCTCACCAAGAATACACTGACCCAGCTTGACAGAGCCGTCCGTTCTGAGAAGGATGTTGCAGCTCTTCACATCTCGATGGATCACATGGTTGGAGTGAAGAAAATCCAGTCCTTGCAGGCACTGAGAGAGAAAACAGAAACAGGGGGGCAAAAATGAGTGATGTGATTTCATCACACAAGCAAGGAAACAGCTGTAAAAATTCCCTTTGCAGGGGAATGGGGAGTAATGGCAGAACACAGTGCCACTGAGAAGAAGAGCCTGCTGCTGCAACAGGAGCAGAGCAGGACCTTTGTCAGGAAAGGCATGGCAGCTTTTGAAACAGCAGCAGCAACTGCTGTTGTAGACTGTCCCCTGCAAACCAGGCAGAGTGACTGCAGCTGCAGTGGGTGTGCTCAGAAGCAAACAGCATTTGGGCTGCACTACTATCCTTTTCTGCTGAGACCTAAAAGAAATTAGTCCCTCTTTTTTTCTTTGCTGTTTGTTTCAAATCCTGCCACCAGCACCTTTGCTTTAGAGGTAAGGAATGTAGTGCAGACAGGCAAAAGTTTAGATAGGCAGGGTGGAGAACAGCAAATCCAAATAGAAGCAACAGAACTAGACTACAACAGCAGGAGATAAGAGTACAAGGAGTGAGTAGAGTGAGTGTAGGGACACTGGCAGGCAGTTCACTTGAAAGGCTCTTGCTTGCTCATAGCATACCAG